GCGCGCATTTAAAACCAGATTGAGCGTGAAAACAGAAAAACTGGATATTTGTAAAATTGAGATACACGACCTTGCGAAAGTGATCAATCGAATACTTTATATGTACTCGCGTACGTATAAAAATGTAGAGAGTTGAGCAAGTTAATGTATTAAATACAATTTTAATTTTTCAAGCACATAATGCTTTAGTTTTTGCGATAAATACAAATCATGTTTTCCTCACAAGAAAGCTATTTATGCCGTATCTTGCTTGTCGTATGTAATGATAATAATTTATCATTAATTGCGAAGACAACTCGTCATGAAGTAGTAAATCTCGAAGAACAATAGGGCATATACATATGTATATGCATTTTCTTATAAAATAATTTCATGTTGACACGTATATGAGCTCATAGCATGAGTTGTATATTTATTTAGTTATTTTTTTACTTGAATTTCTTTTTATCTCATAAATACGAAACACATTTATCCACACCATTTCATCATATTATAAATTTTTTACGTGTCTGTTTTTTGTCATATGCTTGAATATAATATATTTCGCTCTTGGTAGTATTAAAAAGTAGCTTCCCTGATTTTTCATCATAGGAGTTCTATAAATATTCGTATATTTGAAGATGCACGTGGTGAACATGTTTCGAACGCATGTGTCAAACACTAGACTCGTGTGAATATTCTAATTTATTTAGGACATCAGTGAATTAGGTTTCTTCACATCACCTTGATGATTTTAATTCACTGATATTACGAATATCACCAACTGCTTGGACTATTTACATACGATTATTACGCAACAAGGGCACGTTTCTCGATCACTGTATCTTTCTGCCTTTCTCTACTTCTCCCTTTCTTTTGGTATCTGTCTGTTTATTTTCAAAAACATTATCGGACTGTTTTTAAGTAGATTTTTTCCTGCTTATCTACTTGTACTATTCTAATAATACATTTTATAATTACAACTAAGTACTGGATGTATCAAAAATAGAAATTCTATATGATTGAACATAGAAAAAATCTTGTTTATTATATCACGAAACAATCACAAATATTCGTAAAGTTTCTTTCTAGTTTTGAGAAATATGATTCCGTAAAATGGGTGTGTGAATATTTCAGCTAGTTGATGTATAAAGATGACGTTTTGCATTTTCAATGTAAAATAAATAAAAAAATTACTGAAATACTAAAACACTTGCAGACACACACACACACACACACACACACACACACACAATATTCTTTAAATATAAATTTTTAAAAAGTGTAAGAAGTTTTTTGACAGTTGTGAAAATTTTATTTTATTGTGCGTTTTAGTATTTTTATAAACTGAAACTATTCACAGTATTAAACATAAAAAATTTTTATTGACCAAGGATTTCTTGACTGAATAACAAAAAAGCGGTTATTCTGTTCTGAATAATACTTGCTAATAAAATTTGATTATATTACTCGATTATTGACAGAAATGCTAAATGGTGAAAAAAGTTTTATCTTATTGTATTTTATCATTTTCTAGCAGTTTAGATTAGTTAATTTCTTAAACATTATAATATTTCATATTGAAAGCGATAAAATAAGTTTTTATTTATAAAAGAAGTGCCCCAAGAACAGAATTGCATATATATATATATATTGTTACTAAAATTAGTTGGGAAAAAATAAAATTAATTATTGCATGGTGTTATTTGATTACTCACTTTTATCAGCGAAAATCTCTTCTAAATCTGCCACAATTCACCGACACGAATAAATTTCGATGTTCGAGTTGCGAACCGTCGCCGCTCGCGTACGGACCGAGACTAAACCACGTCCGACTATAGAGCTCCTCTGACTGCTACCAACGCGAATTTTCTGTTACCACAATAGCTGGCAGACACGAGCGCGTGTATCAAACGCTACGTGCGTTTGACTATAAGACGACCGCAAGTGTTGCCAGTGCACAGTAGAAACGGCTATTAAAGCAAGCCATCCCTGGGTGGGTGGCCGTTCGGTTTGCGTTTGTACTTCCGCTAGAGCTAGGGTAGGCTAGAGTCAAAGAAGAATTATTATAGCTGGTAGTGTAGCACGCGTAAGAGTGAAGAGAAACCAAAGTCGTGACAGTATTTCAGAGTATCCTTTCGTGTCACGAATGTTACTTGAACGCCAAGACCGTCGAGATAGTCACGTGCGATTTCCCTGTAAATTCACTAACAATGTAATCCATGTTCTTTAGACAGGATTGAGTAAGGAGATGAGAAAAAATTCTCTCTCTCTTATACACACACATATATACATACCACGCACACGCAATATGTATATGTACGTTCTTTAGTTAAAAAATTCTTTTAACTAATAATTAAAAAATGATTAACCTACTCTCATTTCATGATGACACACAGTTGAAAAATTTGTGTTAAATTTAACAGATATCACATGTCCCAAACGGTCCGCACAAATTTTTGTATTAATTTAACATAATATGAATATGTTAAATAATCACACGAATACTCTGTTGATATTTTAACACAAAATAAATGCAAATCTCAAAATAATTTGAAATAAATTTTGTGTAAAATTGACATATTTTTAATGACAAAATGAATTTAAAAAATGTAATTTTTACATTTTACAGATCTGATAAGTCAAATGACGATTCGAAATCACTCTCACTTATGTTGTATAGAATAAAATCAACATTTTATTCTGTAAATTTTAACAGATAAATCTTGTCACTAACAGTATAGAACATATGTATTGTGTAAGATTAAAAAATATGTACACATTGTGTTGTTTTAACATTTCATTTCAAGTATTTTAATAATTTTACATTCGAGGTCAATTAATACAAGAGCAATATGTCAAATTAACACATAAATGTGTTAAACATTTAACACAAAAATTTTAACCGGCATTTTCTTTAAGAAGAAAACACAAATTTTCCAACTATGTAGGAATTTATTTCTAAAGAACAGCTTTGTTCATTGACAATAGAACGCGAATAAACAGTGAAATCTCTTTCAATTTATCTAGCAACTAGAGTCTAATAAATTTTTTGGTATCGAGTCATTATTATGCTTGTGCATTCGGAGAATTTTTTGCGATTCGTTTTTAAACCTAAGCGTACACTTTCGCCGAGACTATCGATTGCATTCTTTCGTCATAAAATAATAAAAGCCTACAAGATGCTGTATTTTCACGGTTCTTTATTTTCGCTCAGCGAATTCAGGTATTCGGGAGCATTCTGTAGTTCACTTTGGTCCAACGTGACGAGCAACAAGTTCTACTACCTATATAATTGACCGTCTGAAATCCCCTCTTACTTGTAAAGCATTCTACAGCAAATCCACTGCATACCACGGATCCTTACCTTGAGAAGAACCTTGCCTTTTTAAATTCTTACAGATATACATTGCATATGTAATCTGTCTGACCTAATTTTCACTGGTACATATCACTGATGATCTTGAAATAAATTTATTTCTACAGAAAACTTGAACGTTATGTAATTCGAATCAGTATATAAGATCTAAATGTTTAATTTGTTATGTTTGAATAGTATTAAATTTAACCGAGATATTTTATTTTAATGAAAATGCAATGCATTGGTTTAATTTATTATTGCTTAAACAGAACATTATTCGATGTAATAATTCTTTAAATAATAATGTATTAGTAAATTCTTTCAATAATAATACAATAATATAATACCTAAAATAAGGTACCAAAAATATGGAACGGTGTACTATACAATAGTAATGTTTAATCAATCAGCATAATTTATACAAAGTAATCTGCAATACAATACAAAATATCTTCAAACATTTCTAGCGAGCAGCTAGTGTCAAAGTGCAAGTTACGTTTTACATGAGACAGGCCACGCAATATATTCTTTCGAACACAAAGAGTTGTTGTGAAAGGAATTTTTAAGGTAAAGATTTAATGTACAGCGACTTATAACACTTTGACTTTTTGACTTTTTTGACTTCTTCGCTATTGAAGAGACTTCTAATTTGTAATTGTGGGGCAACATGCTATTTTGAAAAGTTTTGTGGGAGTTTTTAGAAATTTTACCTTACATTTTATTATAAAACTTTTAAAAACTCTTACAAAATTCTTCGAAATACCATGTTATCCTGTAATTACATGATTTTCAAGTAAATTTTAAGAGAAAATTCTTCCCGCGTATGTTCTTCGAGATTTTCAGAATTGCATAACTTTATTGCTCTTGTTAATTAGTCCGTAATAAAATCTTCATAAATGATCGACTATGATTTGTGCTGTTAAAGTTTATTTTTACTTAATTATATTTTTTAATTACATTTTTTTTAACGTGACAAGATTAGAGTATTCATTGATGCGCAAAAGATGTTTCACAATATTTTCATGTCACCGATTGTACTTTGTAACAAAGTGCAATCAGGAGCCTCTAAGGATGGTGTCAGTTCATAGTAAAATTTTATATTTAAGATCGTCTTAAAGGGGGAGACCAGTATAGCGGAGGGAAAAATAAAGGTTTTTCGTGAATTTTTTAAATGAAAACTATACATGTCAATTAAAACTGTGTTGTTTCTTCTTGAAGTACATCTTTTCATGTGCATTTTTAAAAAAATAAAACGGGATACGTTAGTTATTTCATCCTCTAGAGCACGTAAGCAGGTCCTGAAAATAAAACGGAGTCAGCTGGTTGGCAACATTCCGGCCAAACGGTTGATCTGAAATCAAAAAACCAAAAAGATTCTTAAAATATATGTTTCTGGCTATCGTTGCTCGTAGGGGATTTTTGAATTTCGGAAAATTACCAAAGATATGTACATTTTAAAAAAAAGTATAAGTTTCATTCTTTTTTTAGCCCCTTCTTGGTACTTTAAAAATCCAGTTTTTAATTAAAAAAAATCCTACGAGCAACGCTAGGCAGACACATATATTTTAAGAATCCTTTTGGTTTTTTATTTCAGATCAACCGTTTGGCCGGAATGTTGCCAACCAGCTTTATTTTCAGGACCTGCTTACATTAGCTCTAGAGGATGAAATAACTAACGTATCCAGTTTTATTTTTTTTTAAATGCACATGAAAAGATGTACTTCAAGAAGAAACAACACAGTTTTGATTGACATGTATAGTTTTCATTTAAAAAATTCACGAAAAAACCCAATGAAACGGTTCAAACAGTATTTTAAGATAAACTTAAGATGATAATCTATAAGTATCAGCCCACAATAAAAAAAATGTAAAGTATAGGCCTGTTCTTTATTACTGCACTACTGAACTAGTGCAATAAGTTAAAATGAAACAAATAGATTACCTCTCATTCCAACTCATTGCACTAGTGTGCACTAGTTCAGGAGTGCAGTAATAAAAAACAGACCCCTTGATTCAACGGGTGTCGAAACTCTGGTATGTCATCAGAAAAATAAGCTATTTTGTATCTGCGTTTCTGACTACGTGCGTAAGCACTTGATCTTCGATCAAGAGATTAGAAGCTCTATAAATAGCATTATCAATATGTTTTTCTCGTAAAAAAACCAGACATAATATCGCAAATTAAAAAAAACACAAAATCTTCATGTATTATTTTCATATTAATTTACTAGAATCTGAAACTTTATAACTTATCATAAAATATTTAATTTTGAAGAGTAAAATTATAATTAAATAAAATATTCAAAGTAGTATACGCTTGCATATGCGCGCGTAACGAAAGATTTTATTTTCATGTAACATTTATTGGGATATTCAATAAGAGTTAAAGGTAGATTCCTCTGTTACTTTTTAAGTTCTGTTTAAATTATTGAATCTTTAGCCTTGCATTCCAAGAATTTTCAACACACGCCGCATAGTAACTGGTAAAAGTTGATATTTACTGTATTTCTCAAGTGTGGATCAAAAGTCAGAGGCATTTATGATAAGCATTAACTTTTATCGTGCTATCAAGAGCATATAAGATTAAACATTCATAAGCTTATTAACCTTCTGATAATCTAAAGATTTTGTAAAATTTTCAAGCAGCTCTTTCGAATTATCTTGAAGCTAAAATGTTTTCTAATAAAATTAATTAATTGAAAAACATTCCTAATGAGTAATGAGCATCGTTGAAAAGTCAACAAAAACGTAGGAAGATTCTTGTCCATATGAAAGTTATTGGGTTGGAAGCAAAGTTGAGTTTCGTAAGGTTACCCACTTTGAGATTACAAGTCGCATCTTGACGTCCTTGAGTAACTTTCTTGGCAAAATTATCTGATGCAGACAAAATTGAATACTAAATAATACGCTTATTTTCGTAGAATGTCAGCGCTCAATAAAAATTTGTAACCAATATATCAAAACTATCAATAAGTAAATTAATGACTTCAAGTCGATAAACAATTAATGTTAATGTTTGTCATATTTCAAGGCGATGATTTTGTATGGAGTCAAGAGTTATATAGTGAATGAAAGTACGATTTATATAATTGAATAGAGAAGATAGAATAATATTCAACAAATTTGTGGTTATATGTTTTAATATAATTTTAATTATTGTATTTATATATAAATTACTAAGTAATAGCAATTAAATTTCTCAGGTCTTGAAATTTTAAATCGTTTCATTAAATTTGATCAATGATTATTTATTGAGTTAAACACATAAATTTAGAACACTCTGTAATTAATTTAAGGAGTTGGCATAACAATTAATATAACACAATTTTGCATAGTTATATTTGATTACAATTAATGGCTTTTTTAAGTTGATTAGCAAGATTGATTTATGTGTTTTGAAGTTGATTTATGTATCTTGAAGTCGATTTCTTCTTATGTCGAAATAATATCATATCATAAACTACGAATAAAGAAAAAACTTGATAATAAACGTCATAGTAGTCCGCATATGCCGAGTACTTTATAAATTTAAAATGTACATGTAAAATAAATGATTAATAACAATTAATAATTCGTCT